ACTTATTATGGGCCTAGGAAGATAGATTAGATTTGACTAGGTGGACATGGCTGCTGAGGTTTAGGGTTTCAGGGGTGCTGCCTGATCACAATACGTGGGTCCTGTCCCAAAAGAAGTCAACCCAAGCCTTCTTTCAGCCAAAGACAAGATTTATTAGAACATCCATATTGGGCAGACTCTTAAGGAATCTGAACATTAGTGAGCTACTGGCTACATTATAAGAATCTGAGCAGTGGCTAGATTTTAAGAATCTAAGCAGCTTAATGGAGACAAGATGGACCTCATATACAGAAAGACTGCAGGAGGGATCTAGGAGTGGCCAAGTAGTTTGGGGTGAATGGAAGAGGGATCTAAGGAGGATCTGGATGGGAGTGGCCAATAAGCTGGGGTGAACAGAATGCCAGGGACCTGGACCACGTGGCCAGGGGAGAATGGAGCCTAGCTAGAATTAAGAATGGGAAATGGCCAGGGGCCATAGGGAGGTAAGACAATGAAGGGCTAGGCTACTGAAGGGTAACAGAGAATTGGGAGATTGGGTGTAGCCACAATGAAAGGTCAATTAATGGGATTATAGCCTCAGGTGAAAGCCAGAGATTTGGCCATGTGGGAAAGTCCAGGGTTTTTCCTTTCTGGGGTCTAGATCCCATCCTCATCATGGCAACTGGTCAATCTGACCTTAGGTAGTAGGAAGGCAGAAAGTAAGAAGGTTAGGGAAGTCCAGAGAACTTCTTTCTCACTCCAATCTGAATCCCTTTCTACATATTCTACTCTTTTCTATCTTCATTGGGGTGGAAAGGCATGAATGTTACTGCAACATAAAGGGCAGAGTGCTGAACTTGGGAGTCAGGAAGACATGGGTTAAAATTCTTCCTCACTCACATATTAGCTCTATGATCCCAAGCAAATACCTTCATACTCTATGGGCCTCAGCTTTCTCATCTGAAAATGAGAAAAGTGAACCTTGATGACCTCCAGGGTCTTAATTCTCTAATCCTATGAATGAGTCCACTACAGGAAACCAGCTACTGGGAGATACCTTGACATAGCTACAGTTAGCTGGGCTGAGTGGATGTAATTTAGTCAGTCTTAGTGTGTTTACATTTTGGAGAGGGCTATTGGTCTTGAATGAGTTTTTCCAGACAATCCCCCCAAACACAGTAATTGATGTCAGTATGGTCATATTTGAATTCTACATCTATAAAATAAAAAGGAAAACAATTATATTGAAATACATTAATCAAAATATTTTTAAAAACTAGTTCCTGGACCCCACATTAAGAATCATTGGACTTGAAGATCTTTAAGGTCCCTTCTAATTTCAGTGAAGTCAAATGTGTGATATTTCAGGTAACGTTATATATGAAAATATAATCATAAATTATTATACCTGTACAAAGTTATACTGAGTGTCCCAAAAGACTTAGTGCAGTTTTGAGCTATCGAAGTTTGGATAGTTTAAAACTGCCCTAAGACTTTTGGGACAACCCTTATACTTAGCAGAGTTAAAGGGGTGTCAGAAGTTTGACATCGGGGACCTGGTAGGCCAGTCAGGGAAGGTGCAAAAGGCTAATGCCTGGAGCTTCACAATTCAGCTATGTTGGCTTAACTTCTTGTTCTTTACACACCATCTGTCATCTCTTATGCCTTTACCCTTGCTGTTCCCCTGGGCCTGGGATGTGCTCCCTCCTCACCTTTGTTTCTTCCTATCGCTGGCCTCCTTTAAGACTCAGAACAAATGACACCTTCTGCAGGAGGCCTTTCCAGTACCCCCCCCCCACTAGCTTCTAATGTCTTCCCCTACCTTGTATTGGTTCTCTGTGTATCTTGTATGCCTCTGTCCGGTACAGGCACACCTCATTTTATTGTGCTTTACTTTATTGAGATTCACAGATATTGCAGAGTCTTTGTTTACAAATGGAAGGTTTGTGACAACCCTGAGTTGAGCAAGTTTACCAGCACCATTTTTTTTTGTGCTTACATTGTGTCTCTGTGTCACATTTTGGTAATTCTTGCAATATTCCTAACCTTTTCATTATTATTATTTCTTATGGTGAACTGTGATCAGTGATATTTGATGTTACTATTATAATTGTTTTGGGGTGCCATGAACTATGCCCATATGAGATGGCAAACTTAGTCAATAAATGTTGTGAGTGTTCTGACTGTTCCACCGAGCTATGGTCTCCATCTCTCCCTCTCCTCAGGCCTTCCTATTCCCTGAGACACAACAATATTGAAATTAAGCCAATTAATAACCCTATAATGGCTTGTAAGTGTTCAAGTGAAAGGAAGAGCCAGTCGATGAAGCAAGCTTCATTGTCGTCTTATTTTGAGAAATTGCCACAGCTACCCCAACCTTCAGCCACCACCACCCTGATTAGTCGGAAGCCACTAACATCAAATCAAGGTCCTCCATTAGTAAAAAGATTATAATTCACTGAAGCCTCAGATGATAGTCAGCATTTTTTAAGCAATACAATATTATTTAAGGTATGGACATTTTTTAGACACAATATTATTGTATACTTAATAGACTACAATAGAGTGTAAACGTAACTTTTACATGCACTGGGAAACCAAAAAATTCCTGTGACTTGCTTTATTACAATATTCACTTTACTGCAGCGGTCTGGAACCGAACCCACAACATCTCTGAGGCATGCCTGTTTCTATTGTCTCTGCCATTAAAATTTAAGCTCCTTGAGGGCAGGGGCTGCTTGTAAAAATTTTTATTTTGTGTATCCACAGCACTTAGCATTAACTACTGGCTCATTATAAGGACTTAATAAATCCTTATTGATTTGCTGACTGGAGAGAATTCAAGGAAAGAAAGCTAGAATTTGGCAGAGAGGATAGGGAGGGCACAGAGAGTTGGGTCCTTGTCAAAACTACTAACCTAGCTGTGTACTGTAGACAAGTCTTATAATCTATCTAGCCTCAGCTTTCTTATCTACAAACTAAGGGGCATTACTAAGCACCCTTCTAGTTCAAAGTTCCTTCTTGGTCTTTGGAGGCAGTGAGGTATCATGGAAAAAGCTTTGGATTTGGAGTCTTCCAACCAGGGATAGAACTCTGGTTCTCCTTTTTGTTACCTGTGTCCACAAGAAATTAGCTTCACTTCTTGGACATGTGTTTCTTCATCTATAAAATTAAGTGGTTGGACTCTAAGTTCCCATTTAGCTTTAAGTGTTATAATCTCATAATTCAAAAGTAGCAGAAGTCAAGCGTTATGTAGGGGTAAGGCAACACACATTTATTGAATGCTTCCTATGTGGCAGACACTGTGCTAAGCACTGAGGATGTAATTACACGAAAAAAGAAAGATTAGGCCTGCTCTTGAGGAGCTTACATTCTAATGGGGAAGCTAAAAAGATAGAGAGGATAGAGAAAATACTCTTTCTCTGACCCCCCACCCCCACCCCGAGTCAGGAGATTTAGAAGCATAGCCAGGAAGGGAGCAAAGTGTGGCTTCCCTGTACCCTCTCCCTGTCTACAACATGGAGGCCCTGGAAGGAAGTCATCAAAGAGCAAATGGAGGGCAAGAATGGTGGAAAGAAATTCCAGGGTGAGAAAGCCCTAAGCCTGAGGGAAGCTCCAGGGTGAGAAGGCAATTGGGTCACGGTTACAAAGTCTTTAGAGTTAGAAACACACTAGGAGGGGAAGGACAGCCAGTGAGAGGGATGTGAGGACATTCATTCTTCATCACAGACCTAAGCTATGCTGACTACTGCTCAGTGATGATTTCTAGGTAGGCCTGGCCTCAAACCACCTAAGCTAGAGCTCCAACACTGGCTTTCCTGCCTCCTGCCCCTCACTCTGGAGTCATGGAGCAACACAGGAGGACCCAGTGAGGGAGCCCATTTTGAAAGGCCACTTTGTGGGCAGCCTGGTGTAGTGGGAAGAGCACTAGGTCTGGAATCAAAACAGCTAGCTTTAAAATTGGTCTCTACCACTTTCTACCTGTGTAACCTTGGGCAAGTCACTTAACTTTTATGAGCCTCGGTTTTTTCATCTGAAAAATGAAGGGAATGGATTAAAGAGCCTTTTGTGGCAGCTAGGTGATGAAGTAGATAGAGTGCCAGGCCTGGAGTCAGGAAGACTTGTGTTCCTGAGTTCAAATTATGGCCTCAGACACTTATTAGCTGTGTGACCCTGGGCAAGTCACTTAACCCAGTTGGCCTCAGTTTCCTCATCTGTAAAATGAGCAGAAGAAGGAAATGGCAAACCCCTCCAGTGTCTTTGCTGAGAAAACCTGAAATGGGATCATGGAGAGTTGGACACGACTGAAATGACTGAACAATAACAACAAAAGCCCCTCAACTTTCTTTTCAGCTCTAAATCTATGATCCTGTATGTAAGAGGGCCTAGCTTTGGCAATCCAATCACTCTCCAGCCTTTTAGTCTGAGAGCTTTCTGTGGTCATACAGACTTGTTCTGTGTCATATCAGCCATCTGACCCGAACGCCATTATTGTCTAATAAAATCAAGGATCCTATCACTCCATCAAGGTGTGAAATCAAGATCTCTGGTCTGATAAGGTTTGAAGTCATTCATTCAGTCAATCCCTTTTAAAATAGCTTTGTCTGTCCTCAAGCCATTACTCCTTCTTTCTCCTCCATATCAAGTGAAAAAAAAATTATCTGTGAGAGTAAGGATCTGAATCTGTGATTTCATTAAGTTAGGGAACTTCTAGTATGGTAGCTCCATCCACAATGCTACTAGGTCACTAATTAGTTAACTTAGAGTTGTCTGTGGCACCAAGAGGTTAGGTGGCTTGCCTGTGGTCTCGTAGCCAGAATTTGTGAGAGGCTGAAAACGAATCCAGGCCTTTCTGACTCAAAGGCTTACTTTCAATTTGCTCTACCACACTGAAAAATTATAGTTGTGGAAAAAAAAAACCAAAAAACAAATTGACCTTTCATAATTCATTTCAGGTACAGATAACAAGTTTCCTTGTGGATTACCAACTGTCAAAAACAACCATCTCAGCCTAGCCAGCCATGTCTTTGTGCTCCTTCCTGAAGGGGAAAAGTCCGGGACCCCATCATACCTCTTTCAGGAGGGAATCCTTTGGAAGGCCCTATCAGCAGCCACACCAAGACTATGAGACCTTACTGGAAAGATGCCTGAGGAACAATTGTCTCTTTGAGGATGATAGCTTTCCAGCTGACATGAGCTCCATAGGCAAAGGGCCCCTGCTGCAGAAGCTGCCCCCAACCATGCAGTGGAAGAGACCTACTGTGAGTGACTGCCTGACTTCCAGAAAGAAGGGTGTATCTTTTCAGATGGAACTCTGTATCTATCCAGAACCTTTCTTTGGAAGACCTTAGGACATTTAACTTTCCAGTGTTCATTAGAGAAAGCATTAGAGAGAGAAAAAAACAACTAGCTTTGGTGTCAGATGACCTGGGGCCGGTTTTCTTTGTTACTAATGACCTGTGCCATCTCAGGAAAGTCACTTAATTTTTTGGAGTCTCAGTTTCCTCTACTGTAACTAAGGAGATATTATGTATATTACTTATTTCACATAGTTGTGAGAAGCACATTTGTAAATCTTAACATTCTGTAAGATATCATAGCAGTTGGCATATGTGAAAACTTTAAACTTTAATAGCTAAAATTTATATAATCTATTAAGTTGATTATTTAAATAATAGCTAACAATTATGTAGTGCTTAAGGGCTTGCAAGGTATATTATGCAACTCATGGCAATGCCCATGAGGTCTTTTTTAGCCTCATTTTACAGATGAGGAAACAGGCTGAAAGAGCTTAAATAACTTGTCCAGGGTTGTATAGCTAGCAAGTCTAAGGGGCAGTATTTGAACTCAGGTATTTCTAAATCCAAGTATATCACGAACCATTACACCAACCTTTCTCTTCTTTGCCAAATGTGTTCCATATATTATCTCATTTGAACCTGACAACACTACTAAGAAATAAATGCCATAGCTAGTATTATCCCCCTTTCACAGATTAGAAAACTGAGATTAATTAACTTGCCCGTAAATGTCAGAGACAAATGACCATTAGCTTCTGCTTGAAGACCTCCAGCCAAGAGAAGCCTGCCACTTCTGAGGCAGCCCTCCCACTTGGTTGTAGCTCTACCTAGCAGGATTCCCCCCCCCCCCCATATATCTGCTTCTTGGAAGCTTTCATCCATTGCTGCCAGGGCACCAAGCAGAACAAGGCTAATAATAATCCTTCTCCTACCTGACAGGCCTTCAAATCCTTGAAAATTGGTGAATGAATAAAGGTTGACTATATCACCTGGATGCCTGCCCCATCTCAGAGTCACAGAACTTGAGAATTACAGGAGTCTCAAAGGTCATTTAGTCCAACCCTTGCACGAAAAGGCCCACTCCATAGTCCAGCTCTTGTTGAAAAAGTCAGGCAGGAGGAAGAGGACAGTGCAGATCATTCAGAGCAAGGAGAGGTAAAGACCATACGTTTCAGAAAGGCTTCTGTTATTGCCAGAACCTCCAGGTAAATGAATTTCTAGGGTGAATATGAGATTAAAGCATCACAGAAATGTTAGAACTAGAAGGAATTTTAGAGATTTCCTTTCTCATTTTACAGATGAAGAAACTGAGGCCCAGAAAAGAAGGGCATCAAGGCTGCACTGGTAGTAAGTGGCAAAGCCAGGATTTGAACCCAAATCAGCTGACTCCCAGTTCTATGTGCTTTCCATGACACTCTATTGCCTCCAGAGCTCCTGAAAGTCCAAATCTCATATAAGGCTTCTGACTTGCACTGGTTATGAGAAGGAACTGGTTATAAGAGGGCTGAAGCAGAGCTTCTGGTACGTGACAGTTTTCTGTCTGTTCTCCCAGGAGCTGCATGACAACCCCGTTTTCTATTCTACCAAAGCAGGAAGGCTGGGCCTGTGCCAGGGAGTAGTAGGTGAGTCTACTTCTGCTCTTTTTCCCCTTTCCCCTGCTCCCACTTCTCCTCTCCATTCTCTTCTTCCCAAGGAACCAGCATGGATGTATTGAAGAGTTCGAGAGCCAGGCAAAAACCAGGGAGGTTAAGAGGGAATTGTTTCCTTGAGATGGATTTACCTCCTTCTCCTGCCCTACTAAATGTCTGCATGCCCTAAGGCTCAGGCCACCATCTACACATTGTTCTTTACTCCTCATCCCCCTTAGAAATCCCCATAGCACTCACAGCTATGTCAACGGGACTGCCCAATTTTCATCCCGGGCTCTGACCTGTCTCCTGAATTCAGTCCTGCTGGACATTGCCATCTGGATGGTTTGTACACTCAACATGCTGAAATACAAACGCGTCTTCTTTCTGCTGGTCATGACACCCTCTGAGCTACCAAGGCTTGAGATTTTGGGATCACCTAAGACTTTCCCCCTCTCTTCTACTCCCAGCCTCCAGTCAGTTGCCAAGTTCTGTTGATTCTTCTTCTGCAATATTTTATATCCATCACATATTCCCACTGCCGGCACCCTCGTTCAGGTCTTTGTTTTTTTCTTACTTCTACTATCCAAATTAACCGCTCTGGTGAAGAATAAAAACTTGAATTCATACAGCAATTTCCTTCAAGTCTTGCAAACCACTCTAATTCTGATGAGACTAAGAGGTAGGTAGTGCAAGTATTATTATTTCCATTTTAAAGAGGAAAAAATTGAGGCTCAGAGAAATTATGAGACTTGCATTTGTATTTTTGGGAGGTAATTGCAGTTAAGTGACTTGCTCAGGATCACATATCTAGTGGGTGTTTGAAGCCAGATTTGAACTCAGGTGCTCCTGACTCCAGGGTCAGTGGCCACCACCTAGCTGCCCCTAAATGACTTGCTTTAAATGAATCTTAAATCTCATTATCTGTATAACAACAGACCTTTACATAGCACTCTTAAACTTATAAAGCTGTACATGCATTAACTGATTTGAGTTTTGTAACATCTCTGTGAGGCGGTTACTACAAGTATCTGCAGATATCTAAGAGGCATTAAGTGACCTGCTTATGGTCACAGAGTTGCTGCCTATCAGTGGCGGGATTTGAACACAGGTCTTCGTGTTTGCACTTGCAGAATCACATCTACTTCCCTGGGTTGCCCTGAAGTTCTGGAGTGCTTTTCTTTTTTTGTGATTTCTTTGGTGCAGTGAAATCCTAGGGAGGAAACTATCCCTACTCATACAGTCTGGCACCTGCTCAGCAATTTATAATCTGTTTATGTTTTGCTTTTGCATTGCAAACATTCATGGATTATTCCCATTCGGCGACTGGTCTCTTGTAGGAGACCACAAAACCCTTCCAACTGTATTATTTAATTTGACCTTCATATTAACTCTCTGAGAGGAAAACAATTTGGCCAACATCAACTCCCTCCAGCCCCTTCTTGACTTTCTATAGCAGGTATTGTCTAAATCAGATATTTTTGTGCTGTTACATTTAATTAAGTGCATATTTTATTTAAAGAGAGTCAACATAGGGGAAGTGAGAGTTGGCCTCAGAGCCAGCAAGGACTGCAAGAAGCAGTCCTGCTTCTGTCATATTCTGGCCATGTGACCCTGGATAAGTCAGTGCCTGGGACACAGAGACTATACATTGCAGAACAGGTGCTTACCTGTATTTGTAGAAGGATCTTCCTCCCTGGGAGTCCCTTAGACTAATGAAATCACTGCTCTAGTGATGTAACACATACTGTTTCTGAATATCAGTATCATTTTCCTATGTGTTAGTTGCTCTCCCAATAAGAAGACAAGGTCTTATGAGGCAAGGCTTTGTTATGCAATTCTTTTGTAGGCCACTAGGTGGTGCAGTGAATAGAGCACCAAACCTAGAGTCGGGAAGACCTGAGTTCAAATCCAGCCGCAGACACTTACTAGCTTGTCACTTAACCTCTATCTGCCTCAGTTTGCTCATCTGTAAAATGGGGATAATTATTGCATCTATTTCCCAGGATTGATGTGAGGATGAAATGAGATCATATTTGTAAAGTGCTTTGCAAAACTTAAAGCACTGTATAAATGTGAGCTATTATTATTGCTGTTATGGCTAATTATTATTAGTGCTAGGCCTGGAGTCTGGAAGACAAACTACCTCCCAGGATAATTGTGAAGATTAATGATATAATAATTGCAAAACACTTAGTACAGTGCCTGGCTAATAATAAGTGCTACATAAATGTTAGTAATTATTTTTTTTCCCTACGTTACATTGCCTTGCACAACACAGACATTTAACAAATATTTGTTAAAGTGAAGAAAAGTGAATTGTGTGTTGTTTGGGTCCAGGAAACTGCTGGTTTTTGGCCGCACTGGAAGCTCTCACATTCCATTGGGACATCCTGACCCGGGTAGTGCCTCTGAAGCAGAGTTTCACCAAGAAGTATGCTGGCCTCTTCCTCTTTCAGGTAAGCCTCCTTCCTGAGCCCACCTGTAAGAAAGTGACAGGTGGGGCCCTCCCCTGCACATGTCTGGCCTGAATGCAGCCAGGTGGTGTGTTGGATGGAAACCTTATCGAACATGCTGGGATGCTCCATCTTCCCCACAGTCCCATTATCACCAAGCGTATCTGGCTCTCTTTCCAGTTCTGGCATTTTGGTGAATGGGTTCCTGTCGTGGTTGATGACCGTCTACCCGTGAATGAGGCTGGTCAACTGATCTTTCTCTCTTCCACCTGCAAGAACGTATTCTGGGCATCTCTACTGGAAAAGGCCTATGCAAAGTAAGAAAAGCATTAGAAATTCATATGGGAAGAGAGAGAGAGAGAGAGACAGAGACAGGGACAGAGACAGACAGAAAGAGAGAGAGAGAGAGAGAGAGAGAGAGAGAGAGAGAAGAGAGAGAGAAACAGAGAGACAGAGAGAGAGGATTCTAGAAGTCTGGCTGTGAGTGGACTCTTCCCCCCTTCTCTGTGTTTCTCGGTATGTGTCTATGTCTGAGTGTTTCTCTCTTTGCTTCTGCGTCTTCAATTCTCTCTCTGGGGTCAAAAGATGTAGGTTTCAAATCCTGCCTCTGGCTCTTCTTTATGTGGCCTTAGACATGTCACTCAACCTCCTCAAGCCTCAGTTTCCTCACCTGTAAAATAAGGGGGTTGAGTTAAATAGCCTCTGAGTTCCCTTCCAGCTCTAGATCTGGGCTTTATTATGATCTATGATCTAATACCCTACATGCTCTGTCTTTCCTCCCCTGTAATTCTCCAAACTCTGCTCTAGAAGCATAGAAGGGAAATTTTATAGGAAAGAAAACTAGGTCAGTGAGCAGAGAAGTGACCTAAACAAGCAACTCAACAGGGTGATAAGGTCCTGGATGAGAATTCCTGAATTCTGGTTCACAGTCACTAAATTTCTTATAGTCATAAATGGAGTTTGTTTGTTTTAAAAGGGGCCCGTATTTTTTCAAAATAAATTCACTTTGTTTAATGAAAGTCTTCCTTTTCTCCATTCTATTTTCTTCCCACCCTCTCCCTTTCCTATAACGATAAAAAAAATAACAAACCCCCTGCTACAAACATGTATATTCTAGCAAAACAAAACTATGCATTAGTCAAGTCCAACATTTATTCCTCAGTCTGGACTCTGACCCCATCATCTCTTTATCTGGGGGTGGGTAGCATGCTTCATCATTGAGTTCTCTGGAACTATTGCTGGTCATTGCTTTGATCAGTGTTGCTAAATCTTTCAAAGTTGTTTATCTTTACAATGTTTTACAAAATTTTGCCGACTTCACTCCTTAGCAATTCATACAAATCTTCCTAGTTTTCTCTGAAAGTATCCCTTTCATCATTTCTAACAGCCAGGAAGACTCACCTCCGTGAGTTCAAATCTGACCTCAGGCACTTACCAGCCGTGTGACCCTGGCAAGTCATACAGTTTGCCTCAGTTACTTGTATGTCAAATGATGTGGAGAAGGAAATGGCAAACCACTCCAATATCTTTGACCAAAAAAATCCTAAAATGGTGTCACGAAGAGTCAGACATGACTGAAAATCACTCAACACAATGTGTATACATATTTATATATATACATATACATATATATGCAAATTTGTGTCCCATTCCTTTTTTTTAAATCTCTTTGGAGTATAAACCTGGTAGTAATATTGCTGGGTCTAAAGGCATGCACAGCTTAATAACTTTTTAGCTATAGTTCCGAGTTGTTTTCCAAAATGGTCGGAAAGGTTCATAGCTCTCCCAGGAGCATATCAATATACCTGTTTTCCCACACAGCCTTTGTCATTTGTCATTTTTTTTTTATCAACTTCTCCAGTCTGATGAGTGTGAAGTAGAACCTGACTCAGAGCTTTTAAATGTGCATTTCTCTAGTTATTAGTGATTTAGGGTATTTTTTTTTCAAATGGAGCTATTGATAGCTTGGCTTTCTTTTGGTTGTTGACATCCTTTGACTATATAAAAGTTGAGGAATAGCTCTTATTCTTATAAATTTAAATGAGTTCCTTATATGTTTTAGAAATTAGATTTTTATCAGAGAAATTTGCCACAATGATTTTTTCCCCACTTACCTGTTTCTCATCTAACTTTGTACTGAATTTTAAAATTTTAGGTAATCAAAATTATTTTACATTCCATTTCTATCTTACCATTCTCTCTGTCTCTTGTTTGGTCATGAACTTTTTCCCTCCATGGATCTGACAGGTCATTTCTTTCCTCTAATTTGTTTATGATGTCATTCTATGTCTAAGTCTTGTACACACTTGGAATTTATCTCAGCATAGTTTGAGATGTTGGTCTACATAGACTCTCTGCCTATTTTCTGACAGACTGCTTTCCAAGTTTTCCCAAAGGTTTTGTTGAGTAGTGAGTGCTTACTTCAGTAGCTGAGATCTTTGGACTTAACTAATAATAGGCTGCTGTGTTTTTTAATTCTGTGTATTGTGTACCCAATCGTGTACCCAGTCCATTCTACTTATGGATGTCTTTATTTTTTAACCAGTAGCAAATCGATTTGATGATTATTGCTTTGTAGTATAGTGATACTACTAGGTTATTTTTATTATTACATTTTAAAAATTATTTCTCTTGAGATTCTTGAATTTTTAGCCCTTCGATAAATTGTGTTATTATTTTTCTAGCTTTATAAAGTAATCCCTTGGTAGTTGGATTGAAGTAGCACCAAATAAGTAAGTAAATTTAGGTAGCGTTGTCATTTTTATGATATTGGCTTGGCCTACCCATAAGCAATGGCTATATAAAGAGTGTTTTGTAATTGTATTCATAGAGCTTCTGTGTGTGTCCTGGAAGATAGATTCTGAAGTATTTGTACATTCTCTAGTTGTTTTAATTGAAATTTCTCTATCTCTTCTTGCTGAATTTTGTTGGTAACATACAGAAATGCTGATGATTTGTGCAGGTTTATTTTGTATCCTGCAACTTTGTTGAAGCTGCTAATTGTTTCAATTAATTTTGTTGACTCTCAAGGGTTCTAAATAAACCATCATATTATTAGAGAGCTTCTGCTCTCTTTTCCTCTTTCCAACACCCCACACCCAAACACATATTCTTATCCTTTCTTATTTTTCCCTTAAGCCTCCATTTGAGATCTACTCCACTTACAATTTGTTTTACTTCAGGGCAATTCTTCCCTTAATCTACCCTTATTATTCCCCTCTCTCTTTCCCCCTTTTCTTCCTCTTTCCCTTTTGAGTGAAATATATTTCAGTACCTGCAGGTGCATGTGTGCATGCGTATGTGTATGTGTGTGTGTGTGTGTGTGTGTGTGTGTATGTGTGTGTGTGAATTCTTCCCTCCTTTGACTATTTTAGATCACCCATACCCACCACTGCTTCCTCCTTGTTCATATAATCTTCTATTTGCACACCCTGCTTATGTGAAATAATTTCCCCCACTCTTCCTCTCCCTTAAAAGGGGGCTTGTTTTTCTGAGTATGCTTTCCCTTCTGCTCCTTGGTAGGAGGGAGTCAAGCACATATACCTAGAGAATCAAAAATAGACTGTAGAATGCAATCATAGAAAAACAAAGCTGGAATACCTCTCTGGAAAATACCTAGATAAGAGGGACAATTTTTACAAATTGTCCTTTCCTATTCTGCTCTTTCCGCAGGCTCTCAGGTTCCTATGAAGACCTGCAGATTGGGCATGTCTCAGAAGCCTTTGTGGACTTCACAGGAGGCGTGACAGCTACAATTCAACTCGCGAAGGCACCTTCTGACCTCTGGGACATCCTCGTCAGAGTCTCTTCCAGGAGATCCCTCCTTGGCTGTCAGACCCACTCGGGGGTGAGACTTGGACCCTGGCTCTGTGCTGACACTACCCCATTTAGCAATGTCCCTGCTCACCCTCTTGGTGCTCTCCAATTACTTTCCTTCTGCTCTAATGCCCTTGCCCTATGCAGCATTTCCATGGGATAGTAATAATAAGCTAGCATTTATATAGCACTTTAAGGTTTATGATGCACTTTACAAATATGTTCTCATTTTATTCTCATAACAACCCTGGGAGGTAGGTGCTATTGAGGTAAAGTAACTTGCCCAGGGTCACACAGCTAGTAAGTATCCAATGTCACATTTGAACTCAGGTCTTCCTGACTCCAGATCCAGAGCTCTCTCTATTATGACACCTGGCTGGTATATCCCTGAAAATAGCTCCTATTCTAGCTTTCATATTAGTCTGCCCCACCTTACCATTGTGGTGCAGTGGATAGAGCACCAGCCCTGGAGTTAGGAGGACCTGAGTTCAAATTCAGCCTCAGACAGTTACTAGATGTGTGACCTTGAGCAAGTCACTTAAGTCTGTTTGTCTCAGCTTCTTCACCTTTATAATGAACTGGAGAAAGAAACGGCACAACACTTCAATATCTTTGCCAAGAAAACCTCAGATGGAATCATGAAGACTGAAAAATGACTTAACAATAGCAACAAACCCCCCCAACACTGCAGATTCTGCTGCAAGTTTCGGTGCTTAAGCACATGCCATCAATCAGTAAACGCACATCTATTCAGCATCTCTGATGTGCCAGCCACTGTGCCGTAGGAGTTGTGATGCCAACTCAGACACAGGCTCTGCCCTCCAGGGACAAGAGGGAGGAGAATAATACGCACACGTTTGGGATCGGGGCAACATATCCATGATGTTTTGGGTAGAGAGAACTTTCAGGTGAGGAAACTCTAAGTACCAGTGCAGCTAGACACCCATTCTGCCACTTACTTTTAGAGGGGCTCAGCACCAGAAACTGAGGTGATTCTAAGAGTGGACTTGACATTAAAGAAAAGTCATTAGCATCTGCTGTGGCACTCTACTCGAAGGACCTTGCGACTTGTGTGTATGTTGTCTTCCCTAGAATGTGAGTTCCTTTAGAGTAGGGCTCATCTCACTTTTCAATTTTTTTTTAATGGTATTCCTAGCACTTAGTAGAATGCTTTGCACACAGGAAGCTCATAATAAATGCTTTCCTCCTTTCTTTCTTCCCTCCCTCCTTTCCTTCTTTTCCCTCTTTCCTTCCTTCCTTCCTTCCTTCCTTCCTTCCTTCCTTCCTTCCTTCCTTCCTTCCTTCCTTCCTTCCTTCCTAGCTGAGTCACTAAGAGGTTATACAATATGTTCAAGATCACACAGGCAATATGTGTCATGGGGAGGTTTTGAATCCAGATCTCCTTGATGCTGAAGCAGGTCTCTATTTGCTACGCCAAGCTTCTTTCTCACATATATAAAAGCATATACACAAGTATGTATGTATATATACATACATATCACATACACGCATCAGCCCTCCCTTACTTAAATCCAATTTATTTGCATGTCATGGCATCATCTCCCTGATGTCATGGTCATCTTCAAGATTGAAGGACAAACAACAATCTCTGTGAGTAGTAGTAGGAGCTTCCCCACTGGGGCCCAACTGGAACTGGCCAGTAGGTAACAGTTCTTTCTCTCTTTTTTCTTTTCTTCCCTTCTTCCTTCCTTTCTTCCTTCCTTCCTGCCTTCCTTCCTTCTTTCCCCTGTCCGCCTAGGGTATCATACATACCCTTACCTGGGGTGCTCTACCCAAAGGAATGTAATTTTTTTTTTGATGAGACAATTGGGGTTAAGTGACTTGCCCAGAGTCACACAGCTAGTGAATGTTACGTGTCTGAGGCCAGATTAGAACTCAGATCCTCCTGACTCCAAGGCTGGAGCTCTATCCACTGTACCATCTAGCTGCCCCGACTTATTTAATCTTAACTCCTTCTCTTCTCTCATAACAATCAGTCAATCTATGAGAATCCATTAAAGGCAGACTATGGAGACACAAAGAAAAAGTAAAAATAGCCCCTTCCCTCAAGGAGCTTATACTCTAATGGGGAAAACAATATGTACATACATAGGTAAATACGAGATACACATTCAGTGCAGCCCAACTTGTTAACTCGTGCCTTGTACACATCTTGTACCTGACAACTGACTACTTTTTTTGTCTTTGCAGAAGGAAAGGGTTCTGGATAATGGACTGGTGGATGGTCATGCCTATACTATCACTGGAATCAGGAAGGTAAGAAAAATATTTTGGCCCTATTCTTCTTTCCTACCTGTGGGTTCAGCCCAAACATCAGTTCCCCCCAAATAGAAGCCTCTTTGCTGATTTAGATAGATTCTCTCAAGCAGGCATAAGGGACCTGGCAGGGCTCTGGTGGCTTCTATGGCAGACCATTTCCTCCTCTCTGGATGGTTTCTTTCATTTTAAGACAAGAAAGTCCTTCTGCTCTAGACAGAGAGCACTGGGGGAGAAAGATATCTCTGTTCTCAGCATGTTCATAATGCTCTCTGCAGGTAATAACTGTCTGAAGAGCTACTTCTGAATATGGTATGTGCTGGTCCAGCCCACCCCCATCTCCTCTGGTCCTGCATCAAGACAGAGCTTCATTGACAGCAAGCCTATTAACTTTGCTAATCTGGGTACTCATCTCTTGAGGATGAGCCCACCTAGCCATATTCCACTCTGCCTCTTTCTCCTTATCCTGTTCCTGATTATGCCTCCAAAATCAGTATCTTTCATTCAAATTTATTATCATTCAATATCCCAGAGTTCCAAAATCTCCCAGATTCCCTAAAGTTATGATGTTTCTTACCTTATCCCTACCATCTTAAACCTTCCATTACTGAAGCTCCTTCCCACTAAGCTAATGTCCTTCAATACTAGTCTCCCTTATATCTATATCCCTTCTGGGATTTATCCTACCACCAGCTTTCCCCTTATTTCTCCATTCTGCTGCCTCCCTTTTCCATCACCAACCATCTCTGTTCTTCGGTTGACTTTCAATTTCAATATCTCTCTTCTACCCATAGACCCCAAGTCTAGACCTCAGACACCATGAGCTCCCTGCTGACATAAAACTTTTCTTTTACTGGACTATGGACTGGCTTGTCAGACTTGGCTTACTTCCAGCCAGATCAGAGAATTTTTGAGGCTATTGGAGAGAATAGGGGGCGCTAGCAGTGTTCCTACTCTGGCAGGAAAATAATATTGTCAACTGAGTGGCACAATGGATGGCATATGGGAACTGAAGTCAGGAAGATCTGAGTTCAAATCCTGATGTGTGTACTTGTTAGTTCTGTGACTGGGAAATGCACTTAACACCTGCCTCAGTTTTTTTAACCTGCACAATGGGGATAATAATAATATCTATCTCCCAGGGTCTAGTGGAGACAAAATGAGACAATATTTGTAAAGCATTTTGAGAACCTTAAGGTGATACATAAACACTAGATTTTATTAGTGTAGAAAGAATCACAAAGTCATAAATGATTGAAGTTGGAAGGGAGATGGTACAGAATTTGGAATCAGAAGTCATGGCTCATCTATTTTGGATCTTAGGCAAGTTCCATGACCTCTATGAGCTTTCATTTCCTTATTTCAAAAATGTAGATGAAAATGATACTATTAGATAGTATGTTCTAATGGGGAAAAATGGTAAATGTAGGGTCAGAGAACTTGGGTTCAAATCCCAGATCTGTCACTAACTACCTGAGTGACCTTGAGCAAGTCATCCTCTCTGGGCCTCAGTTTTCCCATCTATAAAATGGTCCAATTGGACTCGAAGGTTCCTTCTGGCTAAATCCATGATACTAGCATTCTACTTTCTCTCTACCTACTTCATAAAGCTATTTGTAAAAGATCTAATATATCTGAAAGTGCTCTATAAACTTCCAAGTGCTACATAAATGAGATCATTAACTCATCTTTTCCATATTTTGTACAGGTAACTTGCCATAATGGACCTGAATACCTAGTAAGGCTGAGAAACCCTTGGGGAAAGGTTGAATGGAAAGGAGACTGGAGTGACAGGTGAGCTTTATCCTATTACAGAAGAGACAGAGGCACAGGTGGTCATGGAGGGAAAGGGAAAATGGAGGCTGTTATTACTCATAGGCAGAAATCAGGAAATGGCAGCACCTACCTCGGCACAAGCACAAAGCATCTAGACTCTGAGAAATGACCCCCTAGAACCTAAGTGGGCTGGAAAATGCTGAGTTGGAGGAACATGAGCTAAGTTCCTTACAATATAGCACCTGCTACTGAGGGCTGGCCCTGAAGTTTGTTTCTGCATGAAGGAGAGTGACAGAATTAGGTGGTTAGGAACTCTCTTTATTAGCTCATTTGCAAAGAGCCATATGGTTCTACCTGTAAATATAGAAATACATATGTATATGCATAGGAATATATATACACTGTATGCACATTCACATGTGCATGTCTATATGGACATGCATATACACACATGTACATAAATAGGTATATGTACATATGCATACGCATATACATTGTATGCATTGCATAGTATATGTATAGACATAAGCATAAATGTATGCATACATATGTATAATATACGTGAACACATGTTTATGCGTTGCAATGTGTGTGGCATGTACATGTTTATTTGTGCAAGCATGTATACACATACACATGTATATGTGTATATGTGTACGGGTATTGTGTGTATGTATATACCTGCACGCATGTATCCAAATATACCTTTTCCAGGGCAATGAAACCTCATCACTTATTTCCTTTTCCCTGAGACAGGGGTTTCCTGACTGAAAAGATAACCGAAGAGTGGGGAGTTTAGCTCTCCAGTTTTGGAACGTTTGGCCTTTTTATTCTGGATTCCAGAATCCTAGAATCTCAGAGTCACAAGGGACCTCAGAGACCACCTGGTCTAACTCTTATCTGAAAATTAATCCCTTTAATATTTCTAACAAATGTGTTGTCCTAAATGGAACTAAAGGTGATTGATAATTGATAATTAGCCTCAGTTCTGTCACTTGTACATGATGTTGGGCAAATCTCTCTGACCCTCAGTTTCTTTTTCTATAAAAATGAGGTGATTAGATTAGATGACTTCAAAGATCCCTGTAAGTTCTAAATATCTGGTTATCCAGCCTTTCTGGGAAGGCCCAAGGTAATTGTTCATAAGCAGCTAAGTGGCACAGTGGATAGAGAGCTGGGCCTGGAGTTAGGAAGACCTGAATTCAAATCCATCCTCAAACACTTGCTAGCTGTGTGACCCTGGGCAAGTCACTTATCTTCTGTCTGCCTTAGCTTGCTCATCTGTAAAATGAAGATAATAATAGCTCCTATCTCCCATGGTTGTTGTGGGGATAAAATGAGATAATATATTCAAAGCATTGTGCAGGCACTTATCTGAATGCTAGCTATTATTTTTATATGGTGCTTTAAGATTTGAAAAGTTCTTGGCAAGTTATTATTATCCCCATTCTATAGAAGAAAACTTGAAGGCTCAGAGAGGTTAAGTAATTAACCTGGGGTCATATAGCTAAATGGCTGAGCAGGCTTAGAACTAGGCCTTCCCAACTCCAACTCTGGCACTCTGTCCCATAGGGCATCTACTACCTTTGGGCTCCCCATGTATATGTGCTATACCGTAAAATGTCAATTTATCTCATTGAGAAAGAATTGGGTCTGCATGGTAAAAAGGGAGAGAAGCAAGTTGGGACAGCAGAAAGGATTTGGAATGAGTAGAGATCTGGCTTGAATCCCACCTCCAGTATTTAGTTTCTGTGTGATTCTGAGCAAGTCTTCAGCTCTCTGAGTCTCAGTTTTCTCAACTATAAAACAGAAATAATAATTCCTCTATTACTTACCTCTAGTACTTACTTCCCAGGTGTGTAGTGAGGCTCAGATGAGATAAGACATTAAGTAAGGCATTTGAAGTTAAGGTGATTATTAATCAGCCATCTCTGCAAGGATGCTCAGAAGACTAAAGCTAGAAGTGACCTTAGAGATCCCATAATCTAATGCTCTCATTTTACAGATGAGGAGGCTTTAAGAGATTATGCTACCCAAAGTCACACAGGAAATAAATGACGGAACTGAGACTTGAACTCAGGTCTTGTGACTGCAAGTTCAGAGCTCTTTCCACTATATCATACCACCTCAAGCACAGTGGACCATTTCCCAAAAGCTTTTTATGGAGCACATCACTCATAGCATTTCATTCCTTCCCCCTCCCCATTCCCTAATCCCTTCAGGTCAAAAAAATGGGACCTCCTGAATCCAAAGGAGAAGATTCTGCTTCTGCGGAATGATGAGGATGGAGAGTTCTGGTAAGAGGTCTGAGCCTGGAGGCCTCTATATAGCCCAGATCCTGGGTTTCCCCCTCACTATTGACAGCCTCTCTTTTCCTTTCTGTCACTTAATGGACTAACCCCTATTACTCCGTATATTCCTGTTTCCTTAATGGAACTCTGCCTTCTTAATATCTCTAAGCAGTTCTATGGGGTGGCAAGGGCTTTGAAGTCACATGCTAAAATTCAGAGTCCTCATAGAACTGGTATTCCTTTAGAGTCTCATAACACTGAATTTAGGGCCTAGAGGGCAAGAATCATTATAAAATAGAAAGCTACAGGGATCTACTCTTCCTCCTCCCTTTTCAGCCACCTCATTGCCACACCTTCAGTAAGTTACGTATTATTCCCCCCTTCCTTCCTTTGGTGGTAGCCTTGCTGTATCCTGGGGGACTCTGCCCATGTAGGACTGGTGTCCCAGGTTCTTTGTCTTAGCAACCTCCTACCCCGTGATTGAATTTGCTTTCAAGGCCTTTTCTCAAGCTGGGGAGGAGGGATGGGAGCAATGCTACTTAGGGTGTTGGTTCTAGGAGAGGGAGCAGGGAAAGAAGTGAAAACAATCACTCACCCCAGCTTTGCCAGGAGCTGATCTGTGAAGTCCTATACATGTCCATATGTGCATATATATATATGTATCTATTAATATGCGCATGTGAAAGTTGTGCTGCCTTCCTCTGCCTTGACCCACATTGAGTCCACACATCTTTTATTTCCAGAGAGGAGCGTATGTAGTTGACCTTGACAGTGGATGCCTTGTGTTAGGAAATACTCCTATTTCCCATTTTCACTGTGCACAGTCACAAGAAATCAGACAACAAGTATTTATTAAGTGCATAATATAAGACAAGCCGGGGATAAGCCCTGGAGCAAAAAAGTCTGGTTCCTGTCCTGCAGAAACACATTATTCTAATGGGGAAGACAAAGTTGTAGAGGATTATGTACATGCAAGGGAAAGGACCTACTATGTGCCAGGTACTTTTGAGGCTGGCTTTGAAACCAGGATCTGACACCAGCCCCAGTGCTTTATCCACAGCTATTTCTACATAGAAAATATATTCCATATATGTAGATGAAAGGCAATCAGAGAGGGAAGGCACTAGCAACCAGGGGGACCTCTGGAAAGGCATCCTATAAGAGGAGAGATTTTGTCTGAGTCTTTAATCCAGGGAAGCTAAAAGCAGAGATAAGGAGCAGGACTATGCCAGGATGGGGGACAGCCAGTGCAGAAACATGAAGGTGAGACATGGAGTGTCATAGGTAAGGAGCAGCATCATTCTAACTCAGGTCCTCATTGCTTTACTGTACTATTGCAATAGCCTTTTTGTTGGTCACTTCGCCTCAAGTTTCTCCCCACTCCAGCCCATCCTCCATTCAGCTGCCAAAATGATGTTCCTAAAGCACAGGTCTATTCCCCTACTCGATAAACTCCAGTGGTTTCCTATTACCTCCAAGCTATTGTAGTAGGTGCAATAAGATGATAAGGACCAGAGTCAGGATGGTAGCCATGCGAGTAGGGAGGAGACATACATGAGAAACGTTGTGAAGGGAGAGATGGCAAGATTGACAACAGACTGGACGTGTGGGGTGAATGTAAGCAGGGAATCAAGGATGACACAGAAGTTGCAAGCCTGGGTAACTGGTGGTAGCATCAATAGTAACAAGAAAGTTGGGAAAAGGAAAAGAGAGTGAGTTCTCTTTTGGACATGTTCAAAAGGTGATTAATTGACGATGAGGCACTAGAACTTAGGAGAGATTAGGACTAGATATATAGGTCTAAGAATCATTTGCACAGATGGTTGGATCCCTAGGATCACCAAATGAGATGGTATAAAAGAATAAGAGAAGAGAGTCCAAGACAGAACCTTGGTGTTCACCCACAGTGAGTAGGCATGATTTGGATGAAGATCTAGTGAAGACTGGGAAAGAGAGGTCGGGCAGGTAAGAGGAGAGCCAAGAGAGAAGAGTACCACAAAAAACTAGAGAGGAGAGAGTATCCAGAAGGAGGCAGTGATCGCTAACATCAAAGGCTGAGAAGATTTCAAGAAGGATGATGTTCGAGGAGATGGTAACTAGATTTGACAATGAAAAATCATTGAGGGAGCAGTTCCACTTTACCCGATGAGGTCAGAAGGCAGGTGGCAAATGTAATTTGTACTAGGGTCACGGCCAGGGAGACTGAAGAAGAAGACAACCGAGAGAGAGAGATCTCAGAGGTAAAATGAACAACAAGTAGTTGGCTGATTATGAGAAATGAAGAAAGAACATTCGAAGAGAATAAGCAGTGGATAGAATGCTGGACCTGGAGTCAGGAAGACCCAAGTTTAAATCCTGCCTCAGACCCTTACTAGGTGTATGAGCCTGGGCAAATCATTTAATCTCAGTTTGCATTAGTTTCCTCAAAAATAAAGTCAAGACTCACTAGCTGTGTGACTCTGGGCAAGTCGCTTAACCCCAATTGCCTCACAAAAAAAAAAAAGTCAAGATAATAATACTACCTACCTCCTAAAGGTGTTATGAGCCTTTGAACACCTGAGATAATGTATGTATCTTGCAAACTCTAAAGCATTATGTAAATATGAGCTACTGTTCTTATCATCATTGTTAAATGAGACTACTAAGGGGGAGATTTAGAGAGAAAAGATCAAGGACTCTGAGAAATACTCACAGTAAGGAGCTAGGCAGATGAACCTTCAAAAAAGGAATGATGGGAGAAGCAGGAGAGAAGAGCCAGGAGAGTGTCATGTCATAAGATCCTAGATCTAGGCCTGGAAGGGACCTCAGAGGCCATCTAATTAAACGCCCTCAATTTACAGTCAAGAAAACTGGCAGAGAATTGAAGATGGAGACGTCATATAGATAGGAAGTGATAGGGGCACTGAGTCTTCTGCCTGCAGAGGCAATCTTCTTTTCTGCCGTCCACACTCTTTCTAAAACCAAGGAAGGAGATAGTGCCAGGGAGGAAAAGGGTAGTGACCAACGTTGCCAAAAGCAGGTGAGAGCTCATGGAAGATCAAAACTGAAAACAATTTTTTTTAAAAGGCTATTGGTATTGGTGATCAGTTCACTGATGACCTTTGACAGATTTTCAAGACTTTCATGAGCTATTATTATTATATGGGGCAGCTAAGTGGCACAGACTAGGAGTGAGAAATATCTGAGTTGGAATCCCACCTCAGATCCTTGCTAGCTGTGTGACTCTGGGTAGATCACCTCTCTGTGCCTCAATTTCTCCATTTGTAAAATGGAGATAATACTAGCACCAACTCCCCAGAGTTGTCGTGAAGATCAAATGAGTTAAAATATATAAAACACTTTGAAAACCTTAAAGCATTATATAAATGCTAGCTATTACTGTTATTATCATTATTTTTCCTGTAAAATTTTCCTATATAGAAAGGTTGTCTCTGCCAATCCACGGGAACTTCATGGAAAGCAAATTATGCACTTCTTTGTATTCCCCATAGGATTTAGCCTGGGATCTAGTACAGAGTAGATGCTCCATAAATATTCTTTGGTTGATAGATTACAAAATCTTTATCTCCTCTCAAGGTCACACTACAGGGGAAGGAGAGATATGTTGGCTAGGAGCAATCCACATATATTAAATAGATAATTTAACTCAAAGGGCCCTGATCCTTAGTGTAATACACCAAATGATGAACTTTCACTCTAGATTCTCTTAGATTCTTTCCTTGCAAGCCCCAAAGACCTCTGTGGATGGGGAAGCTCAGTGAATGTCACAATTTGGAAAAATAATGGCTTGTGTTTATATGTATAGTGGTTAGAGGGCTGGCCTCAGAGTCAGGAAGTCCTTTTTCATGCCCCACCTCTGATACATATACTAGGTGTGTGAGGCTGGGTAAGTCACAATCTCTTAGTACCCCAGCCAGCTCTTTCAGACTACAAGGTATAGAACAACTGGCAATCTTCAGAGGGATTTTCCTCACTGTGAGTTCTCTAAACAAAAGGCAGGTAGGTGACTCAATGAATAGAGCTCTGGACCTGGACTCAGCAAGAGATGAGTTGAAATCCAGCCTCAGACACTTACTAATCACATGATCCTGGGTAAGTCACTTAACTTCTCTCTGCCTTAGTTTCTTCACCTGTAAAATGGAAACAATAATAGCCCCTACCTCCCAAGGTTGTGAGGATAAAATACTATTTGTAAAGAATTTTGCAAACCTTAAAAGTGCTGTATAAATGCTATTGTTGTTGTTGTTGTTATACAAATGAAATCACAGGTCCACACCTTCACCCCTACCCCCAAAAATGAGTATAGAAGGCTTCAGGGTTACAAAATCCCTTTTCTATTTGTATCATCCCATTCAATTTTCACAACCAGAACCATAACTACTAACGGTTCAGGCATCTTAGCAATGTGTCCTAGGAAAGCTTCAAATCAGCTTTCTAAGATGAATTGAATAGGATAGGAAGAAGAGACTCTGGACATTGTTCCCTTTGGGAAGGGACCCTATGACATGACAAGGCTATTGTGGTTTCCTATTTCAGTAAATGATTCTTATTACACTCAGTTATTCCTTCATTGTAGGTGTAGGTGTCAATGCTCTTAATGCCTTCTAAAATTTAGTGTTTGGGATAGCACCCTCATTGCCTCACCCTAGGTACATCTATGCTCACAATCACCACTGGGGTCATGCTGTACAAATATTATCTGTGTTTTTCACATGAAGATACTGAAAGGCTATGTAACTTGCCTGTGTAAGTAGTGAGTGGCAGAGATGAAACTGGAATATTTTTTACTTTAAATCTTTTGACTCCAGGCCCAGCAGTCTTTCCACTATGTCAAATGTCAGGTTTTGTAGTTTAAACTATAGGTTAGTTTTCCCCAACATGTCCTGATGGCTTGTTTTATCACAGTTTGGTCTCTGTGTCTGTTTTCTCAGGATGTCCTTCCATGACTTTAAATTCCATTTTGTATCTCTGGTCATCTGTCAGCTGACACCAGACCTGATGAGTCAGGAAGGAGGAAAGAAGTGGATGTGTTCTCTGAGTGCTGGGAGATGGGTGAGGGGCAGCACAGCTGGTGGCAGGCTGAGGCATTATCGAGGTAAGTCATTCCATAGGGTAGGTCAGAACTTTGTACGAGGTGGGAGCTGAGGGCTCTAATAGTCCTGAGCAAAAGGGAAAGGACAGCAGCCTGAAGCAGGAATCTCAAGTGCTTTTTCCTTGGGAAAAGTAATGTATACAACACCACATAGCCTATGGACTCCCAGAATCATATGCCTTATTCTTCCAAACATTCAAAATCCTTCAGACAAATGACCGTGGACAGATCATATCTTCCACCCCGTGACTCAGCACAGAATCCAGAATTGGCATTCAATGGAGAGGGAGAGGGCACTTGCCAGTGCCCAACTTAAGAAACCCAAGAAGGCCCTTATCTGTCTTCCCTACCCCTCCGACTTCCCTCCTCAATGACTGAAGCCTATAATTTGACTTCATTTCTTTAACTTAAGATTTTGATTCCAGTTAAAATAGAGGAGGGAAGGAAAGAGAAAGCAAAGAGCTGGGGCCCCTAAAGTTAAACTTGGCTTTCACAGTGGCCACAGCTGGCTCCAGGAAGGCAGAGCTCAATTTAGATCTGTCTTAGGGATCAAATCAAGGAATATTATGTTCAGTTCTTTTTTAAAAAAAATTGTTATAATAGTAGGGATACAGAGCCCACAGAAAGATCAGTCAGATCTTGATTTGTGTTCAGTTATGAGGACCACGTTTTAGGAAGGATATTGACAAGCCTGGGCTGTTCATAGCATAGCATGACCAAGATGGTAAGGATACTAGAGATCATGTTCTAGAGGGATTGGCTGAGGAAACTTGGGATAATTAGACTAGCTGGGGTTCCTAACCAGGGGTGTATGATTTAAAAAAAAATTTTGCTAACTGTATTTCAATATAATTGATTTCCTTTGTAATCTTACATATTCTATTTTATGCACTTAAAGTTATATTATGAGAAGGGGTCTGTAGGTTTCATTAGACTGCCAGAGTACCCATAACACATATGTAAGTATATATAGCATATAAAGAAAATAAATACAAATGAATGTGAGGTGGTTGAGTAATAGGCCCTTTGGGAGAGAAAACATTAGAATTCGAGGAAATCAGGAAAAGCCCAATGTAGGAGTTTACATTCTAATGGAGGCAACTGCACACATTTGGAAACTGGTGATCAGGGAAGAGAATTTTGGTCTAGAAGTTTGCAGGGATGCCGTGTGGGATCCTAGGGGAGTAGAATGACACAATTTAAGAAGGAATAGTGGCAGAGTGTTTTTATCATGGTTTGTGATTCCAGAACTGGAGATGACATAAGGAGGAAGAAAGGAGAAAAGGGTAGACTAGAGGTGGTAAAAGAATTGGTAAGGAGGCTATGGAGGAGGTGAATTAGAAGAAGTAAAGTACATTATGGCTACAGCTTTTCTAAAATGCTTTTCTGTGTGAGATAGTCACTGATCAGGAGAGTAGGACCCCAGGACATATTTTTTTTTTTGCTTTTAGGCAATTGGGGTTAAGTGACTTGTCCAGGGTCACACAGCTAGTAAGTGTCAAGTGTTTGGTCTGAGGCCAGATTTGAACTTGGGTCCTCCTGACTTCAGGGCCAGTGCTCTTTCCACTGTGCCACCTAGCTGCCCTGACATTTTTATTAATCTCTAAATTGGACTAGATGTCCTCTGAGGTCCCTTCAAATGAGAAGATTCCAAAGTTCTAGGATTCTAGGGAAATACAGAATGTTTTCTTTAGCATTAAATCTCTGATGGGTTTAAACCCCTCCTTCTCCAGACACGTTTTGGATGAACCCACAATTTCAACTTACTGTCCTAAGTGCTGATGAAGACAAGAGGTCCTCAAATCTCTGCAGTGTCTTGGTTTCACTTATGCAAAAATCTAAGAGCCGCCACAGGAACCAAATGCATCACCTCCCCGTTGGCACTTTTCTTTTCAGGGTAGGTGGAGACATTTGGATCAACCAGAGTGAGTGATGCTCAGTGTGGGATCAGAAATACATTGGTTTCACCATCCCAAAGGGTCCCTAATTCTCTTCTGGGAAAATGAGTATGGCCTATTTATTATCCTTCTTCTCTCTCTTCTCCATCAACATTCCACTTTTGGATAGCACTAACTATAAGAAAACTTTTTAAAATTTCAAGTCAAAGTTTGTTTCTGTTTACCTTCCACCCTTGCTTCCTAGGTTTCCCCCTTTGGAATCAAGTAGGAAAGGCTAATCTCTCTTCCACGTGGCACGCTGAAATTTTGCCTCCTTATGAAAATATTTAGTAAATATTCATGGAATCATAGAACTAAAAGGAATTTCAGTTACCATCTAGCCCAATACGTACACAAACGGAATCCGTAATATGACAAACCCAAGAAATAAATGGTCAGTTGCTGCTTTGAGGTGTTTAAGCAGAGGGTGGGTGACCACTGTATGGGGTACTTAAAGGTGGGAATTCTTTTTGGGCTACAGGTTAGATTGGATGGCTGCAGAGGTCCCTCTAACCAGCAAATTCTGTGACCAAGTTTATGGCCTAGTCCCCTGAAAAAGTGAAGTAAAGTGCTGTTCTCTCTGAGCAAATTGATTCTTTTCCAATCATGATTTATCTTCTACTTTCAGATCTGCTTATCCATCCTTCATCCTCAGCCCCATTTAGATCTAGTTTCATCTGTGGCTCTTCTTTAGCAGTGGTCTTTGGTTGGTCATTCCCTTAAGGCCAGGCATAGAATCAGGGCCTGTTAGTGCTACAGGGGACCTCAGAGAGCATGTATTCTGATCCCATAACTTCAGAGTTCTATCAACTTGGCCTTTGGGTTTGTAGGTTTGGGCTTGTAGAAGAACTGAATTCCTTGACTAACCTATTCTCTTTCTTCTTGTCCTCCAGGTGAATAAGGTGAGTCTCCGACCTGGAAGTCAGCCATTCCTATGGGCTATACCTATGGCATGTCACCAGCTGTGAAGCCACTTAGCTCTGATTTAACTCTAGATACTTTAAAACTCTAGATACAAGGTCTCAAAATGATGTCATCTGCTATGGACTTGTGCAATTAAAAGAATCCCTATTATTCTTTTTTTAATTTGATTTTTAACATTCTTTTTAAATTTTGCTTTCCAAATTCTTTCCTTCCCTCCCACTCCCTCTGTCATCCACAGAGAAGGTAAGCAATATATCAATTATACATGTGAAATCATGTAAAACATATTTCCATATTCACCCTATTTTTTTTTAAAGCTAGGTAAAGAAAGTGGGAAAATTATACTTCAGTTTGCACTGAGTTCACTAATTCTTTCTTTGGAGGTAGATAGCATTTTTTTCATCTGAGTCCTTTGGAATTATCTTGGATCATTGTATTGATCAGAGTAGTTGAGTCTTTCACAGTTGATCATCATTATAACATTGCTGTTATTGTGCACAATGATCTCCTGGTTTTTCCTCACTTCGCTGCATCAGTTCATAAAAGTCTGGCTATGTTTTTCTGAAACCACCCCATCATTTCTTATGGCACAATATTACTCCATCATAATCATGTGCCACAACTTGTTCAGCCATTCACCAACTGATGGGCATCCCCTCAATTTCCACTTCTTTGCCACCACAAAAAGAGCTGCCATAAATATTTTTGGCCATACAGTTCCTTTTTTTCCTGATCAGTTTGGGATACAGATCTAGGAGTGGTATTGCTGGGTCCAAGTTTTATAGCCCTTTGGCCCTAGTTCCAAATTGTTCTCCAGAATGGTTGGACCAGTTCACTACTCCACCAGCAGTTCATTGGTGTACCTATTCTTCCTTCATCTCCTCCAGCATATGTTATTTCTGATAGGTATGAGGTGGTACCTCAGAGTTGTTTTTATTTGCCTTTCCCTAATCAGTAGTGATTTAGAGGGGAATATAGAAGGGACTAGAACCCTGGTGTAAGAACGTATTGAGCCATTTGCAAGACCTCTCATCTACCCTTTGTGTCTGCCATCACCAACTCCCACTGTTGGCTCCAAGAAGCTATATCATGCACAGCAGTCATACCCTGGTAAAACTGTCCCAGCAGATGGGCTAAACTAGGTTAAGGGTAACCAGCAAGTCTCAAAACCATCAGTGAGTTACGGGGAGTCTACCCCAAGCATGTGAAGACTCAGTAGAATGGGTGGATGAGAACAATTCGAAGGCAGCTGAAGCAGGAGCTATGGTCAAACTTTGAAGACGCCACAGTCATCCGCAGCATCTCAGCTTGACTTTTGTCTTGTTATTGGACTTCAATGATTCTGAAAGAGAGAGTAAGGCTGACAACTTTGTGCAACTCTGCCTCACTCAAATCCAATTCACATGCAAGTCAAGACATCACCCTGTGATGTCATTGGTCTTTGAAAATGAAGGATGAACAACAAATGATTTAGAGCATTTTTTCATATAGCTATAGATAGCTTTGATATCTTCTTCTGAAATCTGTGTTAATATCCTTTGACTACTTATCAATTGAGAGATGTTTCTTACTTCTATAAATCTGACTCAGTTCTATACTCAGCACATATTTGAGACATGAGGCTTTTATCAGACAAAATTGCTATAATTTTTTTTATATTACTTCATTGTATATGGTACCATTTAGCAAAATGTGGTTTCCTTGATTATCCCTTTTAATTAGGTTCATTTTGGCTTTTGTTTTGTCTAAGATCATGATTGCTACCCCTGCCTTTTTTCCTTCAGCTAAAGTATATTAGATTCTGCTCCAGCCCTTTATTTTAACTCTATGTTGTCTTTCTGTTTCAGTAGTATCTTTGTAAACAACATACTGTTGGATTCTGATTTCTAATCCATTATGCTAACCACTTCCATTTTATGAGTGAGCTCATCCCATTCACCTTCAGTTATGATTACTAATCATGTTTTCTCTCCATCCTATTTCTCTCTCTCTCTCTCTCTTTTTCAATCCTATCTCTCCTCCAAAATCTATTTTGCTTCTACTGCCTCTTTTAATCTGCCCTCCCTTTTATCATCCCTCACTCCATATCTTTTATCCCCTTTCCCTCCTATTTCCCTATTGAGTAAACTACATTTCTATACATAATTGAATGTGTATATATATTCTTCCCAATTCTGATGAGAGTGAGTTTCAAGCATTGCCCTCCACTGTAAAAGCTCTTCCTTGCGTAGCTTTTTTATGTGATAAAATTTACTCCATTCTACTTCTCCCTTCTCCCTCCTCCTACTGTATCCCTCTTTCTTACCTTTTCATTTTTGTTTTTTGGATCTCATTCCAACATAATCAACTTACATCTGTGCCTTCTGTCTATGTAAACTTCTTTTAACTGCCCTAATAATAATAATAATGAAGTTCTTAAGAGTTACAGTATCATCTTCTCATGTAGGAATGTAAACAGTTTGACTTTATTGAGACCTTTATGATTAGTCTTTCATGTTTACCTTTTTATGCTTCTCTTGAGTCTTGTGTTTGAATGTCAAATTTTCTATTCAACTCTGGTCTTTTCATCAGGAATGCTCAAAAGTCCATTGCTTCATTAAATATGTGTTTTCCCCACTCTTGAATAATTATACTCAGTTTTGCTGGATAGGTTATTTTTGGTTGTAATCCTGGCTCCTTTGCCTTCCAGAATATCATATACCAAGCCCTCCATTGTTTTTTAAACATAGAAGCTGCTAAATTTGATTATGATTGTGTTTAAATTGTTAGCTTATAACTATTTGAAGTATTTTCTCTCTGATCTAGAAGCTCTGGAATTTGGCTACAATATTCCTGGGAATCCTAATTTTGTGCTCTCTTTCAGGAGGTGATTAGTGGATCCTTTCAATTTCTATCTTACCCTCTTACCTAAAACATCAGGGCAATTTTCCTTAATAATTTCTTGAAATATGATGTCTAGGACTTTTTAGTGAGTCTAATAATTCTTAAATTATCTCTCCTTGATCTATTTTCCAGGTCAGTTGTTTTTCTGATGAGATATTTCACATTTTCTTCTATTTTAAAATTTTTGACTTTTATTGTTCCTGATGTCTCATCGAATCATTAGCTTCCATTTGCCCAATTCTATTTTTTTTTTGTGAGACAATTGGGGTTAAGTGACTTGCCCAGAGTCACACAGCTAGTGAGTGTTATGCGTCTGAGGCTGGATTTGAACTCAGGTCCTCCTGACTCCAGGGCTGGTACTCTATCCACTGCACCACCTAGCTGCCCCCCAACTCTAATTTTTAAAGAATTATTTTCTTCAGTGAGCTTTTGCACATCTTTTTCCATTTGGCCAATTCTGTTTTTTAAGGAGTTCTTCTCTTCAGTGAATTTTTTAGTCTCTTTTACCATTAGGCCAATTCTGTTTTTTAAGTTATTATTTTCTTTAGTATTTTTTGTGCCTCTTTTACCAAACTATTTCAATTCATAATTTTCTTGTATCACTCTCATGCCTTTTCCCATTTTTTCCTCTACCACTCATCTCTTTCTTTAATTATTCCAGGAATTCTTGTTGGGCTTGGGTCCAATTAGCATTTTTCTTTGAGGCTTTGTTTGTAGCTGTTTTTCTCTTGTTGTCTTCTTCTGATTTTATATTTTTGTCTTCCCTGCTTCTGTAGTTGCTTTTTATGGTCAAATTCTTTTGTTGCTGTTGTTTGCTTATTTTTCTAGTCTATTTATTGACTTTGAACTTTCATTAAGGTTGGGCTCTGCTCACCTGGGAGTGGGGAAGCACTGTCTCAATCTTCTTTTTATCTGCTGTTTTCAGAGCTAGTTCTGGGGGTCTTGGTACTTTCAAGGTGGTGTGATCCTGGGAGAGGTCAAGTCATTGCTGTCCTGATTTGCACTTTGACCTTTACCCAAGAAGTTCCCCTGGTCCCCTATAGCCACAAGCACTAGCGCCTTGGAATTGCAACCAGGGCCGCTGCTCCCTTGTGACT